CACCATTCCTGTGGGTCCTATCATTGGTGTTTACAGAGAATAGGTCACCTTCCTCTCCAGTCCCCCTCGCGAGGAAGTTGTAGACCAAGATGATGTCCCCCCTCAGCCTCCTCTTCTCCATGCTGAACAGGCCCAGTGCCCTCAGCTGCTCCTCTAACCTCTTCCCCTCTAGGCCCTTCACCATCTTCATCACCCTCCTTTGGACTCTCTCCAACAGTATAATGTCCTTCTTGTACTGTGGTGCCCAGAACTGCACACAGTATTCGAGGTGAGGCTGCACAGCACAGAGTAGAGCAGGACAATCACTTCCCTTGACTAGCGATGCTGTGCTCGATGCACCCCAGGATACAGTTGGCCCTCCAGGATACAGTTGGCTGCTAGGGCACACTACTGGCTCATGTTCAGCTTGCTGTCAACCACAACCACCAGATCCCTCTCTGTAGGATTGCTATCCAGAGTCTCGTCGTCCAGTCTATACGTATAGCCAGGGTTGCCCCATCCCAGGTGCAGGACCCAGCAATTGCCTTTGTTAAATTTCATGTGGTTGGTGATTGTCCAGCTCTCCAATCTGTCCAGATCTCTCTGCAAGGCCTTTCCACGCTCATCCGAGTCAACAACTCCAAGTTTGGTGTTGTCAGGAAATTTGCTCCAAACACCTTCCAGTCCTACAACCAAATAATTTATAAAGACATTGAAGAGGACTGTCCCTAAAATGGAGCCTTGAGGGACCCCACTAGTGACCATCCGCTAGCCTGATGTGGCCCCATTAACCATAACCCTTTGAGCTCTGCCCGTCAACCAATGGCTCACCCATTGTATGATGTTTTTGTTCAGTTGTATGCTGCACATTTTGTCCAGTAGGATTCTATGGGAAACTGTGTCAAAAGCCTTGCTGAAGTCCAAAAAGATAACATCAGCTGGTTTCCCTTGGTCAACTAGATGGGTGATCTTGTCATAAAAGGAAATCAAATTTGTTAGGCAGCACCTACCCCTCATGAACCAATGTTGTCTGGGACCAATGACTGTATTGTCCTCCAGGTGCACCTCAATAACTTCAAGAATCATCTTCTCTATAATTTTACCAGGCACTGACATGAGACTGACAGGCCTGTAATTGCTAGGGTCTTCTTTCTTACCCTTCTTGAAAACTGGAACAACATTTGCCAGCTTCCAGTCTACTGGGACCTCTCCAGATTCCCAAGATCATTGAATATTTATTGAGAGGTCCCGCCATGACATCAGCCAGCTCTTTAAACACCCTGGGATGGATCCCATCTGGACCCATGGACTTGTATGGATCCAGGTGGAGCAGCAAATCCCGCACACGTTCAGGGTCCGTTGGAAGATTGTTATTCCCACCATCATGGTCCTACAGCTCAGGGCACCCAGAGTCCTGAAGCTCATCATCAGCATTGAAGACAGAGGTGAAGAAGGCATTAAATGTCTCTGCTCTACCTGTGTCATTGTCTGTGAGGAGACCTTCCCCATCACGTAGCAGACCTGTGTTTTCTTTGGTTCTCCTTTTTCTGTTTTCATATCTAAAAAAAACCTTTTTTATTGTCTCTCACAGACATGGCCAGCTTCAACTCTAGTTGGGCTTTGGCCCCACGAATTTTCTGCCTACAAATACGAACAGCATCCCTGTATTGCTTCCTCATCTCCTGACCCTCCTTCCAGCAGCCATACACTTTCTTTTTCCGTCTAAGCTCCGGTAGAAGATCCCAGGTCAGCCAGGCCAGCCTTCTGCCCCGCCTGCCTGACTTCTGATATTTTGAAATCACCTGATCTTGTGCTTTTAGGAGGCAGTGTTTAAAGATTGACCAGCACTGATGGAGGCCAATGCCTTCAAAAGCAGCTTCCCAGGGGACCTTGCTGACAAGTTCCCTGAGCAGCCTGAAGTCTGCTTTCCCCATATTCAGGGCTGAAGTTTTGGTGGCAGTTTTCCTTCTGTCACCAAAAATTCTAAACTCAACCACTTCATGGTCACTATGACCGAGACGGCCACCAATTGCCACGTCTCCCACAAGACCCTCTTTTTTTTCCAGCAACAGATCTAGGAGGGCACCTTTCCTAGTTGGCTCCCTTAGTACCTGCACCAAGAAGTTATCATCTAGGTGCCTTATGAACCTCCTGGACTTGCTCGTGTCAGCTGTGTGGTGATCCCAGTTGACGTCTGGCGAGTTGAAATCTCCCATAAGGACAAGGGGAGTTGACCTCAAGGTATCTCTTAGTTCTACAAAGAATAATTCATCGGTGTTGTCGTCCTGGCCAGGTGGTCTTTAATAGACTCCCACTATGACATCCCCTTTATTTGTTCATCCCTTAATCCTTACCCAGAGGCTCTCAACTTTGCCATCCCCAACTTGAAGTTCCACACAGTCCAGCCCATGCTTCACATACATTGCCACCTGACCGAAGGACCTCTCTGGCACACAGACCCTCTGATTCCAGTGCACTATCCCTTAGCTCATCACTGGCGTGCCTGGTTTTATACCTCTTCCCCCTTCAACTCTAGTTGTAGGGGGAAGGGGACGAATACTATATGGTATGGAATATCCCTTTGGTTGTTTTAGGTCAGCTGCCCTGGTGATGTTTCTTTTCTCACTTTTTTGCCCACCCCCTAGGAGGGTTAGAGAGAGTCCCGATGCTGTGCCAGCACTGCTCAGCAGTAGACACAACACTGGTGTGATACCACTGCTGCTCTAGCTCCAAGTGCAGAACACAGCACTGTATGGGTTGCTGAAGGGAAAGTTAAAATTCCAGCCAGACCCTGTACACACCGTGGCTCCTGCATGCCCGTCTCATGAAGAATATGGGTTCTGGAAAGTGAAACGCAATTACAGAGGTTGGGTACTGGGTTACGGAAGTGACTTGCAAGGACCTGAAGACAGCTTAAAGGCTGAGGCTGCCTCTGTTTGGAGAACTTCCAAGAGCTCATGATGTCCCTTGTGCGCACAGCAAGGGAACCAGGAAACTGGGGGCAGCTGGAGCTTAGGTTCCTCCTGGCTCTGACTCCCAGGACCAACATCAAGAAGACAGTCTGCTGCAGGATGCCTTTGCAGGCAGCAAAGCCTCAGGACACAAAGCACCCAGGAAATGCCACTGCCAGACTCCATCTTCCTGTACAAAACTTTATTTGACACAGTCCTGCTGCTGCTGGGCCTTGGATACATATACTCCAGAGGAGAGAACAAAGAGCCACCACAGGATGCTCATGCTCAGCACCAGGCACAGAGCAAAGATCAACCCTGACCTAGGAGGCAAAGGTGGCCTGCAATGGCCAGCAGCACATGGTGACCACATCCCTTGCCCTGGGGTCTGCAAGCAGTGCAAGCAGAGGGGAGAGGAGCGTGGAGAGCTGCTGCAGCCCCTGTGCTGCCCGCTGGGGCTCAGAGGCAGGGTGAGAGCCGTGGGTGCCTGCAGGGCTTGTGCCCCAGCACAGGAGCCGTGTGCAGGGCAGAGCCCAGGGGCTGCAAGGGGTTTGGCCCCTGCTTGCAGCATCCCAGCCCTCTTCCAGCAGCGGGGAGGAACACAGGGCAGCCCCTGGTCCCACTGCCCCTCATACCTCTGCTGCTCCTGCAGGACTAAGGAGAGGTGATGCAGGAGTGTCTGGAGAAGGGCAGGAGCCCCCCAGGGCTGGGGACAGGGTTTACAGGGTGCTGTCCCTCAGGCACAGCTGAATTCCCTCCGTCCTCAGCCAGAACCAGGGGTGGATGCTCTCCCCATTGAAGGAGGCTGCTGTGAAAGTGAAGATCTCGACCCCATTGTCAGCGTTGATAAAAGACACCTGCCCCTGGGTACAGTCCAGACAGACCCAGATCCTTGTGGGGATAGGGGACAGGGACAAGGGCATGTGAGGAGATGTGAGAGACATGAGCTGTCCTTCGTCGTACTGCACAGCCCAGATCCCTTCTTCAGGGCTCATGTTGATCCACTTCTTTCTCTCCATAGAAGCCCTGGCCACACCCACAGCCCACCAAGAATACTGTAGCCGCTCTCCCTCCACCTCCACCAACCAGCAGTGCCTCCCCTCTCTGAACTCCTCACGGCCCAGCACGCACCACCAATAGTGAAATCTCTCTGGTGTGTCAGGCACCTGCTGCCATTCACTTTTCCATCTCACACTGCTGTTGTCCTGAGACAGGACAAGCATGGGATGAGCCGTGTCTGGATCCAGGGTCACCTTCACTGCAGGGACAGAAGGAGCCAGGTTATCACAGGCAGAGCTCAGCCCTGGGCAGGCTTTCCCCAGCTCGGGGCCAGGAGCTGCCCCACGGGGCAGGAGATGGGGCACCTCTGGGCTGCTGAACATGCCCCAGCAAGGGCAGGAGAAGCACCTCAGAGGGCAACCCAACACACACCTACCTGTATTGTGAGGCAGCAGAAACTTTCTCCATGCTGTAAGGAGAGGGGAGAGCTGGTCACAGCCCACAACTGGTGCCCAGTGGGTGTGGGCAGGGTGAGGGGCCAGCCCTGGGCTGTTCTGTCCCAGCTGCCCACCCTCCCCTGCACATCGCCTTGGCTTGGCCTTGGGGGCCAAGCTCTGTGACACTCACCCAGCTCTGCAGATCGTTTCTCTGAAAAGGAAAGGAAAGTAATGTATGATGGGTATGAAATTAATGCATGATGGGAGAGTTGCTTAGCCCATGGTAGACCCAGAACACATCCCATGACAAGGAAAAACACTGCCTTGATCAGAGGTGGGACTAAAGTCATTGTGGAGGATGTCTGTCTCCCGAAAGAATCAGTGCTGAGCGGGGCAGCCCCGCAGCTCGCTCCCCGTCCCCACCTTGATCCCCGTTCCTTTCAGCCATCCCGGCCGTGTCCCGTGCCCAGGGAAGCCCCAGCCCCAGCACTCCCCACTCCCACCCCAGGCTCCAGCTGCTCCTCCAGCACCCCCGAGCCACCAGCACACAAGCCCCCAGAGCCCACCCAGACCAGGCCCTCCCGCACAGACACCACTTCCCCAGGGGCTGGGGGCAGGGACTGCAAGGACTCACCCAGCTCTCGCCTCTGTGCCGCTGAAAAGCAAATGTGGAGGAAGAGGTGGTGAGCAGAGCAGCTTGGTTGCTGGGTGGGAACAAGTGCAGGGGGGCTGCGCCTTGCCACCAGCCCCACGCTGCAGCCATGTTCCCTGGCCTCCCACCCAAGGCCCCTTGCCTTCTCCCCTGCCTTCGTTGCCCAAGGCAGAGGCCCAAGACCATCCTAAGGCCTTTGGCATCCCCAGGAGAACATTCCCTTCCTCCTCCTACGCACCTCCCTGGGCCAGGGCTCAGCCCCGCTCCAGACCCAATGGGGTCCCTGCAGAACACCTCCCTGCGCTCTATTCCTGCGCTGCCAGCTTACCTTGCTTTCGAAAGAGATAAACACCGAGGCCAATGGACACAGCCAAAAGCACGAGGATCAGAGCCAGAGCCACCATCCAGCGCTGGGCGTTGTGGAAGAAGGGAGCTGAGAAAAGGCACCAGGAAAAGAGCTGCATTTCCATGCCCGTGGATGGAAGAGCAAGACCCAGACTTCTCCTGGGTCAGGAGAAGTGCAGGGGCCAGGAACACCTCACCCTGGCTGTGCCATTTGTACCTGCAATGTGCAGGGATGATTCCTGCTCCTGCTGGAGGCGGCTGTTCCTGACCACGCAGGACAAGGGCCCCTCCATGCTCCCGGTCACGATGACGGCACCTTCGATTTCAAAGAGCCCCTCCTGGTCCTGGGAATGTGTCTGGGAGACCGAGGGCAGGTGCTGCCCGCGAGCATCCCTCCACAGCAGCTGCGGCAGCGGGTACCAGCCGGCCGATCGACACAGCACCCGGACGCCTCCGGCCTCGTAGCCCCCCAGGGAGAGGTGGGGGTCAGCGCCTGTGGCTGGGGGAAGAGCGCGTGGCTGGGGCTTGACTTGGGGAGGGATTGAGTTCCAAGGCAAAGACCCCATCTGCTCCCATGCCAAACACAGCCAGGCCAAACATGGCCCCAGAGGCTCTCTGACTGGACACTTCATGCACTCACTCTCAGCCCAAAACCACTCCAGCTGTAGCAGGACCCAGAGAGCAGGACTGCATGATGCCAGTGGCCCCAAATCACATAGAAAACCCAGGTGCCGACTTCCAGGACCTTCAGGCAGCATCTCTGCACCAAGCCATCCTGGTTCAAGAAGCCCCGAGATATCCAGACAACATCTAAGGTCTCCCCCAGCAGACAAAGCAAAAATAAAGCAGATGTCTGGCTGCTCAGAGGACTCTGCGATTCTCCCTGTGTGCTGTTTGGTCCCATTGCTGACACAGCTGAAGGTGCTGCGCAGCAGCCTGTGCCCAGTGCCCTCACAATATTATGATTACATTCTTCAAAGACACCAGTGAAAACTGACAAAAGTATCCAGGGAGCTCTCTCCCTAAATATTACCTCCACATCCATTGGCATGCTCCATGCTGTGAAACAGCTGAAACATTTAAAGGACACATCAACTCTGCCCTGGCAGCATCACCCCAGCCACTAACCTGACACCTCCAGCTCCACAATGGCTTCGTCATAAGCATGACCATCTACCACAGTGCAGACGTACTGGCCATCATCAGAGGGTCTCAGCCCCGTGATTCGCAAGTCCAGTCTTCCAGCAGAGAGACCATCTCTGACCAACTCTGTCCTCCCGGCATATGCCTCCATCTGCTCCCCGTACAGATCCTCTCCATTGCGGTAGTGGTGCACTGTCTCAGAGATACTGTCCCGGATCCACCTGACCTCCAAGCTGCGAGCATCGCGTTGAGGGGACAAGTGGCAGGGCAGCACGACATCCTGCCCCACGGTGGCAGTGACAGAGTGGCCTGGTCCCACCACTGTGAGCTGGGCTGGGCAATGGAGAAGGGCACAGAGAGGAGGTGAGATTTTGCCATTGTAAATTTAGGGTTAGTGAGTGTCAAAGGGCAAGCTGTGTGTGAGTTGGTGCGTGCTGCGTCCCCCGTGTCCCATGGGAAACCACCGGAGAAAGAGGAGAGGGAGAGGGAGGATGTGCAGGAGAAGGAGGTGTGCTGGGAGTGGGAACATTTGGGCAGGAGATGAAGAGCCAGGAAGGGCAGGCAAGGCAGCGCCCGTATTGCATGAAAGAAGCAAAAATAAGGGAAAACCAACAGGGGCTGAGCTGTGGGCCCTGGTCCCCCCTGCCCCATGGCCACTACCCTGACCAATGGCAGCATATCCACCAGGCTAAGGAGGGAGAGCCCCCAGCAGCCCCGCAGGATCCTACCTGAGCCCAGCCGAAGGAGGTGCAGAGTGACGAGGGAAGTCAGGAGGCCCCTGGCATGGCCGGTGAGGCTGGGGCGGCCACAGCCCCAGGGGAGCCCCATCTGTGCTGCAGCGGGAGCAGGAGCTGGGGGCAGAAGCAGGAGCGTAAGAGAGAGGACCGAAGGGCTTCAGGCACCACAGGCAGATGGGGAAGGAGTCCGCTTGGGCCCGGACAGAAGGAGCCACAGCCAGCACTGCCTTGGGCAAGGCACAGAACCTGTGCTTATCACCACTGGGACACAGCCAGTGGCCCCCAGGGGTTCTTCTCCAAGGGAGCCCCACCAAGATAGACATCCCTCACCACACCCAGCAGAGCTGCAGAAAGTTTAAGGCTACGCCCAACTTCCCCAGCCTGTGCTCAGTTCCTGGCTGCAGTAACCCTCTGGGAGTAGTTCTGCCCCTGGGGCAATAGGGGCAAGTGTCTGGGGAGCTCTGCAGGGCTGGCACCACCATCCCATCACAGGTGGGTGCCCAGCCCAAGGCCTTCAGCCAGCATGAGGGGCTTGTCCCCACCGGGGCCTCTCCAAACCACCGGGGAAAGCCTCTCTCTAGGCTCATTCATCTCCATGATTTATTTTATTTATTTATTTATTTATTATTTTTTATTTTTATTTTATTTATTTATTTATTTTATTTATTTGTCTCCACGATTTATTTATTTTATTGCGACAGGCAATAAAAGTGATTTTTTTAAAAAAAAACTCTATAAAGAGCAAATGTAGGATGAGACAAAGCATTGGTCTGTTACTTGATGGGGATGATCGTATAGGGTCTTTAGTGATATGTGAAAAAAAGTATCAGCAAAGCTGCTGCCTTGGATTCTGGGAGAGCAGACTTGAGCCTGACCTGGAACTTAGGTGGAAGAAGAAAGCTTAGGAACTTTGGAAACAAGGTTGGGCCACTCAGGAGGGCTTCAGAGATGCTGTTTATCATGGTAGGGCAAAAAAATTGTGCAGCCAAATCTCAACTGGAGTTGAAGCTGGCTAGTACTGTGGGTGATAACAACAACAACAAAGGCTTTGAAAATATGTTAACAATAAGTTATAGGCTTCTGGATGAGTTCCTAGCTGATGCTGAACTTGTTGGGGATTTGCTGCTGCATCTTCATGCACATAAGTCTGGCGCCCGATGGGATTCATCCCAGGATACTGAAAGAGCTGACTGATGTTACTGCGAGGCCTCTTTTTGTTGTTTATCAACAGTCTTGGGAATCTGGAAAGGTCCCAGTTGACTGGAAGCTGGCAAATGTTGTCCCATTTACAAGAAGGCAGGACAGAAGACCCTGGTAATTTCAGGCCTGTCAGTCTCACCACAATGCCTGGTAAAATTATGGAGATAATTCTAGCAGTTACTGAAAACCACTTGAAAGTGCAGTCATCAGTCAGAACAAACATGGGTTCATGAACTAAGGCTGGGAGAGCTGAGGATGTTCAGCCTGGAGAAGAAAAGGCTCTGGGGAGACCTCATTGTGACCTTTCAATACTTAAAGGGGTCATACAAAATGATGGAGAAGGACTCTTTACTCGCATAAATAATGGTAGGACAAGGGGGGAATAGTATTAAACTAAAAGAGGATGGATTTAGAATAGACATTAGGAGGAAATTCTTCACTGTAAGGGTGGTGAGGCACTGGAATAGATTGCCAGGAGAAGCTGTGGATGCCCCATCCCTGGAGGTGTTTAAGGCCAGGCTAGATGGGGCCTTGGCCAACCTGATCTAGTGGGTGGCATCCCTGCCTATGGCAGGGGCATTGGAGTTAGATGATCTTTAAGGTCCCTTCCAACCTAATCCTTTCTATGAAGGGAAATTCATGCCTTGACAGCTTGAAGTCCTGCCCCTGGAAGAACAACCCCAGGCAACAGAACGTGCTTGAGGCACCCAGCTGGGAAGCAGCTCTTCAGAAAAGGCCCTGGGGGTCCTGGTGGACACCAAGTGGAACAGGAGCCAGCAATGTGCCCTTGCCACAGAGAAGGCTATCAGCATCCTGGGTGGTGTTATAAATGGCTCAGGATTCAAATTAGGATTAAATAAAAAAATAGGATTTATTAAAAGAATATGAAGGAATAGAGGTAAGCAAACAGCGCTGGGTGCACCGGGAGTCTCCGCCCCACCAGGACGCACACCAGTTACATCAAGCAGCTGATTTTTATGCACCTAGACTAATACATATTCATTACTACTTCTAAAAAAGTAGATTATTATAATTAGCTTCCGGAGTCCGGTTCCTCCTACTGGAGCATGCGCATCAGTCTCCTCTGGGGGTCTCTAGGGGTCTTTCATGCTGAAGGCTCGTAGTCTTCCTCTCACCCTTTGCACTTACTTGGCACTATTCCAAGTTTATGGAACACTCTCTGTAAACTCTCCACAGGTCTTGTCTCCCAACCGTCCTTCAGCTTCTTTTTTCTTCCTCTTAATCTCTTGGCCCCCCTGGCCAGATACCAAGGATCCTCATAGTATCCCATAACAGTCACTAGTTGTTATCAGTTGTTCTGAAACTCCCAGACATCAAACACAAACAGCTTTCTTATTTGATGCTTCACGAGTAATTAAAACATTCTTCCCCAGCCATTCACAGACACATCTATAGCAGTGTTAAGTTAATCTCGAAGAAGACAGGAAAAAAAAGGCTGTAACTGTTAGAACTAGAAGTCAGGAATAACAAAAGCAAACAGGTTCATAAATTTAAGGAGTGTTTTCTGAAGACGTGATAAATTGACTGGAATGAGGGGGAGACTGGGGCACACTGCATCTGTGGTTCAAGAATTAAACTGCCAGTGCAGGGCCCAGAGGCAGACAGGATTCAAACAGAATTATTCTTTATGCACATGAATTTATGGACACGAATTGGAATTGTTAAAACATTCCTCACAATCCCTTATCTTCTTTTTAATATCCCCAATTCGTGTCTCTTCTGTTATTAATAATTGGATTTCATCAGTTTGTTCTTGGAGGGTCCAATTCTTAAGCATCATAATTGACATATTCTCTTCTTTTTTTTTAAATGAAGTTATTACCAATGTACTATTTATCACCCGGTGTATTAATAATGTAAGACAAGGTATCATACAAGGTATAAACAATAACATCTTTACACCACATAACAATAAAAATAACACTCTTTTAACCCATGGTTCACCAGGCAGCCATGAAAATAAAAATAAATGAAAATAAATCCCATTCCATATCCTTTCAGGTTTGTGTTTGCTCGCTCACCTCCCCCCTCTCCTTCTCTGGGATGGGAGAGAGAAATGGGAAAGTGAAGCCTGTGAGTTGAGATAAAAACAAGAAGATAATAACAATAATAATAATAACAATAATGATTATAATAGTACTACTAGTAATAATGTGTACGAAACAAGTGATGCACAATGCAATTGCTCACCACCTGCTGTCCGATGCCCAACCTAACCCCGAGCAGTCCGGCCCTCCTCCCAGCCTGCCTGCTGACAGGACAGTGAGAAGCTGAATTTAGCTTGGTCCTTGGCTTGATGTAAGCACTGCTCTGTAACAATTAAAAACAATTAAAACATCAGCATATTATTAACATTCTTCTCATCCTAAACCAGAACATAACTTTCTATCAGCTACTAGGAAGAAACACCCTTTTTATCAATTTTTAAACAGCAATTACTAAAGCTAAATTTTCCACAGACTTCTCCTTCTTGTGCTAGTAAATAATCCAAAGCTAGGCTATTTTGATACAAAGCAGTTCTCATCATTTATAACTATTTCTATTACAGCTAATAACCTAATTATTCTATTAAGTATATATACTGGGGTCCTATAGTCCCAGGATCTGTCTTCTGCCCACGTATCTGGATCATAATAGGCAAACACCTTCAGGGTTGATTCAGGCTTGTGTTACCATTCGGCCTGTCAGGGTGATCCAGCTCCTGGAAAACGAATCACAATATTATATAGGTTAAAAAAAAAGGTTCTTATGTTATTTTCTCAGGACAACCTGACCTTAGTGTGGGAGAAGTCCAGTCGAGGCCCTCTCACTCGGCAGTCAATACCCATAGGGGTTGCCTCCCTCGGTAGACCATACACACCGCAGTGGAGGGTCCTGCCCTGGTCTTGCCTTCTCCCTTTCCTCCCTTTAGGCTTGTCCCCTTTATTTGGCATCCTTAATTCATGCAGAGCCTCGTTGCCAGAATATTAGTTCTTCCTTAGCTTGAGTTTCAGTTTCCCAGGAGCGGACTCAACCCTCCAAGTTTCAGTAGTTACTGGTCCTTTTATTCTGGATGCATGGGTCCCTTTCTGCGGTTCTCACAGCTGTTACAGTAGTCAGTAAAACAAGGTACAGTCCCTCACACCCATGCCCTTGAGCCAAAAGCAAAAAGTCAATAGCAGCTTGATCCTGTAAGATCGCATGTCGCAGACTATTTTGATCTGGTAACATCTCCTCAAGTATCTCTGTCATGGCATAGGCTTGCTTCTTGGCCCAGCATACCAATTTTTCTAAGTTGTTACGTGCGGCCGCAGATGCCACTCCAGGCACTGAACTTGCTAATGCCGCTCTAGCTGCAACCCCACACAATTCAACATTATCATTGCAATCCGATGCAAGCAATGCCCATTTATGTCTGGTGATCTCACGCAACTGTAACAAGCTAGGAGCAAATACAATGAGTTTATCTAAGTAACATGGACATCTGATAGCATTTGCAGGGATACCTTGCCAGGCCCCATCCCCACAAATCAGAAGCACATCAGGAGGTAAGGCCAAAGCTGCACAATTGTTCCAAACACTGTAGTTGTTACCCCTTGTCTCCATGCTACAAACCCCTAAACCCTGCTTAGCAGCGTCATTGTAATCACAGGTGTTATTTGTGTTTTTGTACCAGTATGGCCCTTTCCCGGTTCCTGTAGCAGGATTCACCTGATAGCCACGGCTACGTTCACATTTGTAGCCACCTTTCAGGTTGATACATATTTGACTACAGATACCAGGGTTTTGACATTCATCAATATCTCCACAGTTTCTCTTGTCTACAAACTCAAACCCAGCTGGACAGTCACATTCATGTATGTTGCATTCCTTCAGGGGCTCATCACCCCAGTCCTTGCAGTCTCTCTGCTGGTTACACACTTTATTGATATCTATGCACACAAAGTCAGATTCAGTACACATCTTCTTCACACAAGCACTCTCATCACTGCCATCTGAGCAGTCTTCACATTTTACTCTAGCACCGTTGGCAGCAGTGCACAGTCAGGCGAAGGCGAGCAGCAGGCAGAGCGCCCCGCACCGTCACCTGTGTCACTTATACTACTCCTATTACCCATGCTGTTAGTGTCAGTGGCATCCTCCTTGTACCGTTTCTGTCTTTGTCTCCCCCCTTTTCTTTTTGTCACTGGCCATTCACCACAAATGGATAAGACATATGATTACTAGTTAGGAAA